TATACATTGTATTGTGAAAGAGAATAAAGTTGAATTGAAATTGAATTGAACAGGATATTCTTGTGAAACACAACCAGTCAGATATTGATAAAATCGAAAAAGCTCAAGGACCTTGAACTGCCACTTCTACAAGAGAGAAGGAAGAAACTCCGATTGACATTCATGTTCAAGGTGGTTGAGGGGATGATGCCAGCCATACCAATTTTGGGCCAGTACAAAATAAACACAGAATCCGTGCCACACGTTATAGTGACTTTGAAACTACAAACATTGTATCATCACATGAACTGAACAAGAACAAATGCCATTGCACAAAACTTTGCAGTACTAACATTTATAGAAATTCATTCTTTGTGAGAACAGTACATGATTGGAACCATCTGGACAATTCAACAGTTTCAAATTCCTCCTGCTGAAATCTGCCAAAAACTTTAGAAAAATGAAAACTTTAAACATATATCTGTAAATGAAGATCTTACACAGCTCCGCAGCCAATTCGCCTATCTCGCTCGACAGGCTGTAAGAAATGGCCGTGCCTCTCAGACCTGGTCTACCAACGGAAAACTCTTGGTTAAATAAAAACGGAACGAGACCTCACTGCATTCGGCCATGATATGCACACTTGACTAATGACTATGACATGAAAATGTTATATTAATGTAGCGAATAGGCCCTTCTGGTCTGCAGTACACACGGACTCTAGTGTACATATCGCTACAGTACAGTTTCCATTTATACTGCAGTCATATATTATCTTCATGCAGTGATTGTGTTGCTATGAGTTATAAAATTACTTTCATAGCTATGAAATAAGATTAGAAACAAACACGTGTTATTCTGATTTATTGTACTTATAGCTACTTGACACCAGTGATCCTCCGTTACCATGTTGATGTATTTACGTTATGTATACTAGGTACATGTATCTATCGCTCCGAAAACTTGACAACCTAAACTTGTTTGTTTGTTTGTTTGTTTGATTTTGTTTAACGTCCTATTAACAGCTAAGGTCATTTAAGGACGGCCTCCCCTGTGTGCAAGATGCATGCGTGTAGTGTATGTGTGTGTATTTTGGGAGGCTGCGATATGTTCGTGTTTGTCTCCTTGTGATAGCGCGGAACTGATGCCGACTTTATAGTGCTACCTCACTGAAACATACTGCCGAAGACACTCAGCAGGACGCCCCACCCGGTCACATTATACTGACAACGAGCGAACCAGTCCTCCCAATCCTAATTTGCTGAGCGTTAAGCAGGAGTAGAAACTACCATTTTTTAAAGACTTTGGTATGTCTCGGCCAGGGGACAGAACCCAAAGCCTTCCTCACAGGGGCGAACGCTCAACAAATGTCTACACTGTTGGAATTACTTCTTTGCCCCATATAATATTTTAAGTAATTCGTATCCTACGGAAATACCTCCATTAGGATCCAGTGTTATATGGGATTTTACCGTCTATATTACTTCTTTGACCCATATCTATACTATGTATGTATACATTATAGCATGTATGTATATATATATATATGTATGTGTGTGTGGTATGCATGTATGTATGTATGTATGTATGTTTGGTTATTTGAATTAAAAGTTAATTCTTCTGGTGCTGAATTGTATATAAAACTTGTAAGGCTTTGAAGTAGTTTGGACCCCCTTTTTCTCCTTATAATGGCATGCTGAAATAAGGAAACATCACAATGAATTTCGGTCATTACTCAGAGCCGTAAAAATACACTTTCAAGATCATCAATGCAATTGAAATCTTTCTGTTTTTAATTTTAGTTTAAACATATTTTATTCCTTCTAAATTCAAGAAAGAGGATTGGGGTAGATATTACGCCACGTAAAACGCCAAAATCTACGAAACAAATTATCTATCAAAGACTCCGAACAAGCAATCGACTAAAAAAGAGACAACATTTTACTCTGTAAAAAAGGAGCATGTTCCAAAAAGAAACTCAGATTTCAATTAGACAATTCTGATACATGTATTATTAGCGAAGATAATGTACAACTTTTTAAAAAACGTAGAGTCATTGAAGACACAGCGTTGGTACAGATAATTTAGACGAAAGTCATAAACGTAAAATTTTCAATAAACGATGGGTTTGTTCTGATATAATAAACTCATTACAAGCAATATTGTCGAAACAATTTACTGATTTGATTGGTTTTCAGTTGACAATCTTAGCTCCCGTGTATGATCCAAATTAATGGAGATGGAAAAACCAAATCCCTTTTCAATTTGATAATTCACCTTCTGTCCAAGTTCACCATAATGGAAGAAATCACTGGGTTACTAGTTTCCAAACAAGCAATGGTGAAATATCTGTTCTAGACAGTTTAGCATCTAAAATCATACAGTTAATACTCCCTCGATCGAACTTCAGCTGTGTAGCATTTACGACAATGATAAAGGTAGTATTCCGGTCAAAATTTTGGATGTTCAGGAACAAAATAATGGTTACGACAGTGGATTTTTTGCGGCAGAATATGGCAGAAATTTTGCGGAAATTCATTCAAGCAAAAAACAAACTTCAATGAAAACCAAATGCGGGACCATTTGATTTGGTGTTTAGAAAGGGGCACTAGAGACCGTTTCCACAATTTGTAAAAATAGCATCACAAATAAAAAAAATAAAAAAGGGGGCAAATAACAACAGTATAACTATCAATACATGGAAACATATAAGATAGGTGCCAATATTGATGATTCGAAAGAAGATTGGTGATGTTCCGAACATCGTAGGTTTTGAAAATAAATGTTCTGTAAGGTAAATTGAAATTATTCAAACTATAGAAAACAAAGGTTCTCATGTAGAACTGCGTCCTCGTCGCAGAGCCTGGTAACATTCTATAAGAATTGCTAAAAGTTCTACAAGTAATCCTTTTTTCAGTTCCAGTTACTTCCCTTGCACATTTTCCTACTACCTTATTTCCCCTTAGTTTAGAACTAGAATCAGACATCCAAGTGATCAAAGTTATTAGAGTTATTTTTTTTCTAAATAATTCAATATTCTAGGGGCGGGGCCCAGTCTATGTTTTAGCATACCCGAGAATGTAGAAATTAACATTCATAGTGGTTCATTCCGGCCACCACTTTTGTATCGAGTTTATAATGTATACTAATAAAAGTTATAATAGATTATAGAATTATCTTGCTTAGAGTGGTCACCTAACAAATATCGGTTCAGCAATTAACGAGTTATAGGTCAAGAAAGACAGAATTTACGCGAAAGTTTGATATATTTTTTTCATCATTTTTCACACGACTTCGATTCATTCTGGCCACCACTTTTGCGATGAACATGTAAGATGTGTTCAAACAGTTGAACTCATTGTAAAGAGTGTAAATTTGTTTTGACCAGAGTGGTCTCTTAACGGCCCAGTACATTTGGACTAAATTTGGTCTGGGGCATCCTTAGGCCAAGGGGACTCAAAATTGTATAAACGGTAGGAGGGACCACTATGGGGGCAGAGAGGTGGGGCCGAATAGGGAAAGTAGAAGTAAAACCTTTAAAATCCTTCTTCTACCGTAGGGATAAAGGTATTTTATCCTAATTTGGTCTGGAGCATCCTTTGGCGAATGGGACTCGATTTTGTATAAATGGTAGGCGTGGCCCTCCTGGGGGCAGAGCCAAATAGGGGAAATTTTCTGGAGCATGCTTGGGCCAAGGGAACTCAGTTTTGTATAAACGGTGGATTGTAACCCCTGTGGGCAGAGTTGCGGGGCCCAATGGGGAAATTAGAGGTTTAAACCATTGGAGGGATTTTATGTAATAAGAATAATTTCCCGTGGTTGCTTTATTATCCAGATGAGCGATACAGGCCCTCTGGGCATCTTGTTTTCATAGTGGTTCATTCCGGCCACCACTTTTAATTCCAATATTAAATATTGCTAAAATAATAATAATATGATAATATTTATTCAGGTTAAATAAGAGGCATGTTATTACAAGATATCACAATGTAGAATAAAATATATAATTAAAATCACAATGCAGCTTGTAAATAAAAAAGAGTATTTTGTATTATGACCGAGAATAATAATAGATCTGACCTAATAATTTTTTTTTTAATTCAATCATTGACATATATCACAGAGTATAAAAATCTAAAAAAAAAAAAAAAGTCTGATACACTTTAAAAAAAATGCAGATATTACTATAAAATGAGACAGACTATTTTAGTAAATGAGTGTATTTATAAATAAATAGGTCGCATAATAGGAGTGGTGGTGAGTGCCATTTACCTAGGATTACCCATAAAGCCACAAAGTGGCTTATTTCCAACGGGGTCCTTTAAAATGAAAGAAAAAAAAGAAAAAAAGTAAGAAAATCAATCGGGTAACGGTTCAGATAGCACAAAATAGGATATGTGTGAATCATATTCGATAATTAATCAGTAAAACTGTATTACCTATATAGAAAACAATACAACATACATAATATTTATTTTATAGTGGCAGAGAGCTTCTTATAGCAATTAAACTATAGAATATTTTTACATATTATTTTCAAAGATATCAAAATAAAAATAAAAAAAACTAAATATATAAGTCACATCCTTAATTTATACCATTGTAACGGGTATTCAATTATCTTTCCTGGTCTCCGAATAAAATACATGATGTATTTAGGGAGATATGGCCTAAATATATACAAAACATCAAAAATATCTTCACGTCTGGATGCATTCCGGGTCTTGCCCTCACACCGGAAGTACTGTCTTCCTATTTCCGGTTGGTAGTTCAACTTTCACTTTGATCGAAGAAGATTAAGCAAGGTTTGTTAGTTCTTATTTAAGCAGAGTGTATTCATATAGTAAAAAAAGATTGGCAATACCAAAGACATCACTTCCTCCGTTGAAGTCACTGTTGTTTACTTATTGTATACTGCATCTTGTCCGAGTCGGCGACGGTAAACGACATACATCTGATTGACTTCCTCCGTCGATACCGACGATTACGGAGGTGATAACAAGTCATAAGCACTGACAAAAAAATTAAGAAGTCGCACACTACTCATACCTATAGATGTGACTTCTTTTTGTCTGGACCATTTTTATTGACAGAAACAAATGCCTGTGGGTAACGAGCAGCGTAACAGTAATCTGGTAATGGCCTAAATCCAAAAATTCAGGACATGTCTAAGGTATTCATGGATTGTGGATTTGCCTTGCTCCACACACCCACATATATATGCATATATTGAAAAGCTACATTATTAAAGCGTTTTTGTAGAGTTATGAAATTTTTGTGAAAAAGTGATTTCTTCAGGTTTCAGGCTTGTGAAAACCAAGCATTGTTATACCACAGTGGTTCGTTACAAATGTCTAATACACATATGCTATACTGATATGGGTCATAGCTCACATACTGATACACAAGAGAACAACCTACTTCCCAGGTTTACTGGTACTGCCAGATTTCAAATGAAGATTTTCAACACTTACTTTGTTATTTTCCAGGTAACTGCGGCGATTGTTTCCTTTTTAATTGTAATTAAGTAAACCATAATGATTGTTTGTCTAAGCAGTTTCTAATGTACACACTCAAGCACTTTTGCCAAAAAATGGAAGATTCTGCCATGATTTACTTGCTATAAACCCAGGTATGCTTGTAGGCTTATTGGAATGTCTTAACATGATACTGCCAACTACAGTGTAAAATCTGAATAGAGCATAGCCTTGCAGCAAAAGTGCTTGAGTGTATGTATCGATCTGGAACCGTAGGCACTTTCCGTAAATTACAGAAAGTGCAGACATTGTCGGATTGTCTATTTTCTAGGTTACGGAGAGTACCAACAGTTCCCTGTTGTGTATAAGAAGATTGCCTACACAAATTTTCATGGATTACTTAATTACAAACAAAAACAAAACTGTTGCCGCAGTTACATTGAAATGATTTTATCTCAAATTCCCGACTTGCTTCAAATTTGCTAATATGTCAGGTCTTCATTAAGATGATTCGGACAAAAGTCAAACTGCCCTGCTATATCCGTGAGATTTCTTAATAGAAACACAAATTTAGACAAATCAAATTCAACAAAACTAAACGTATTTGAACCCCTTTAATCATCATCAACTTATATAACTTCATGCAGAATATTGCACATAAATTTATGCATTCGTATTAAGTGTTCTTGAAGCAAAATGATTCTAGGAGTTATCATGCAGCAGTTCAGGAAAACCTGCATTTTCATTGTAAAATGCTTGACTATTGTCTGTTGTGTGCTATATTGTTTGAAAATTGACCATTTTGAAGTCGATTAATTAAACCCTCTTCAATTTTCAAAAGCCTCTGCATGCACCAAACAAGTAAATATATGACATGCTTTAACAATGTCATACCAGCGTCATTTGTAGAAAGAATTGTGTGTTTGTCACGTGCGGAGGCTTTCAATTTTGCATGCTAACTGTCCAAAAACACCATATTTTTGCTTTATCTGCATAGCAATGCAATTTTGTTGCTATGGTAGGGCATCTATGCATGCACATTGAAAAAAAATCTGCACCCAGAAAGTTAGCCCCACTTAACATATAAAATATGTAATGTTTATAACAGAAATTGGTAAATAAATTCAAGTTGAAATTTTCACTATTTATGAGGCAGAAAATGACCCATAATGCCCAGAGTTCTTTGTAATTTAATACCAAATACATTTTTTTAAGTTTTGTTGTTTTTATGATGCTCACATGGTCAACCTTATCATGAATATGCCAATTTTAAATCCTCTTTAGTTTGAGAGAAAAATCCTCTGTACTTTGACTGTTTTTTTCACAGTGATGTAAGGGTAAGTCATGAAGTCCTTACAAACATATAGAATGGCACATTCCCATTGATGGACTGAGATATATGTACCTAGTAGGTTATAAGCAGCCAGGTGGGGAACATCCTCTCACTCGAGGTTATAAACAGCCAGGTGGGGAGCATCCTCTCACTCGAGGTTATAAGCAGCCAGGTGGGGAACATCCTCTCACTCGAGGGGATGCACTGGAACGACAATGCATCCTCTCCACCAAGACACATTTGTGTACAGCGCTGTATTGGTTATAACCATAGAAAATCTCACTTTCACACTCACTTATTGAGAAATTTGGGTAATAATTAAGCTTAATTTTACATGAAACAGCAAAACAATGTTGTCAAGATGAAGTTTGTTTATAATTTGATATACACCATAATACCTGTTCCTCATGTCATTGGTTAGCATAAAATCATTGCGTCAGATATACAGGTGTGTTCATTCTAAATATCCAATCACCTGTACATTATTTTACTGTACCTGTCACTCCATTGGATTACATTGCAAAAGATGACTATAGTAATAGAAAGTTACTTGGAAACCACTAAAAACAAATTTTTAAACATATCTTTTATTATATAATCAAAAAATAATTTGACACAATTTATAACATCTTATAAGACGTCCTCCTAAATATAATTATAATAATAAAATTTGATAAATAATTTTTTTCTAAAATCAGAAACATAAATTGGATAAACGATGTAGATAAAAAGTGTAATTTTGTAACAATAGCCAAAATTGAAGTAATTTACTGTAATATATACATCTGTTGTAGGAAACAGTGAAATAAAATGGTGACAAGATGACACAACCAACACAAGACATAGCTCAAAGAGATATCACGGAGGAGACCACAGACAAAGAATACAAGAAGTTCCATACATTTGACTTCCACAGCAATGTAAAATTCCAGGCCGGTTGGAGTAAAATTGTAACTGCAATTTCTGATGAAAAAAGAGAGGCTGACTATCTGAAAGCAAAACTTTTCTTTTATTCAAAGTAAGAAACAGTTTTCGTATTTAATGATTAACTACAGTACCATTTAGCGGTAAATTAGGCATAGCATTTGTTTGACAATTTGGCCAGTTCAGAAATAGTTTGCCCAATCTAAATTGCAGAAGATGGAAACTGAAATAAATGTTGCAAACATTTCAGTGCTCAGATATCAGCTGTGGATTTTTACAGATGTATCTGGTTTTAATTGTGTGTTTTTATACCC